TAGGTAGGGTTGGCCCCAACCTAATACATTTAAAAAATTAGACAAAATGAGGGAAAACATAAGCCCGGGCCAGATTTGCCCTACATAAGCCCTAGCTCAAGCCCGAGTCAACTCAACCCTCCGGTCATGGTGGCAAGGCCTACGCCCAACCCTCAAGTCATCTTTTGTGGCCCAGGGCCTAGATCTTCAGGGGTAGCCTGATTGGGTCGGTTAGGCAATTTGGCCCATTGCCCTGCCAATAGGAGTTGTAAATTCAAATCAAAATTACAAATTAGAATAAAAAATATTTTGGGAAGAAAATGATAGGAAAATGGCAAAAAGAAACAAACAAATCAAAACTTCAACTGATTTTAGATATTTTTTATTTAAAAATATTGATTAGGTTCTTTTTGTAGATCAAAATTATAGGAACAATTTAGGATGATTTTGAATGAATTTGGTGAAACAATGAGTAAAAAAACAACGATTTTTAGTATCGGCTAAAAAATGGTCATAAAGTTTCGATTCTAGGTAACAAGGTCTTCTATCCAACCAGAAGAAAGATGGATCGCGTTTCAAAAAATGGCACATATAAGAATCTCAATTTTGATCTATAGAATATTTAATAGATTATGTTTTGATTGGAAAAATCTCTTTAGGGTTACTGTAGATGCTTAAGATAGTACAAATGGAGACCATTTCGTGAGACTTCGAAGAATAAATAATAGATAAAATCATTGTTTTATTGTTTTTAGCAATGTAATCAAATTCACTTTACTTCAGCCGAAGAGGTAACGTAGCTGGATTTTTTGCCCACATCGATGCAAAGCAAAGTGCAACTCTGGTGCATTCGCTTCTGCGTGCTTCAGCCTGCTATGGTCTGATTCGGCCACTTCAGTCAAAGCACATAATAGTTTTTTATTATTATTATTATTTTATTTTTAAAATGTTTAATTTTAAATGGGAAAAGTTTATATAGAGCTGAGGCTCTAAACAATCAAATTTGAGCCTACCTCAAAACTTTCTCTATAAGAGCTTGTTTTGATGCCCAAATATCATCAAATTGATCATCTCGACATCAAGATGCATGAATATGAGAAAAAAATAGATTTCGATTTTTGAAAATAGTGCATCTTGTAACTAATTTTTGGACCGTCAATTTTCAATATTTTCAAGTTTTCATCAATCTGTTCGGTATACACTATTTTTAAAGCTTTAAATTTTATAACTAAAGATGAAAATATAATTTAAGGCTATCACCAAACTTTTCAGTTTTGAAACCATATTTCTCGACAGTATTTGAATGTGTTCTAATTTGATTGTTTAGAGCCTCGGCTCTATACAAACCGCACCCATTTTAAATTTTTTATTGCAATATTTTTTATATAAATATATTATATCCTTTATTTAAATTATGTAAAAAAAATTGAAGTTTTCCTCTAAATTAACCGAAACAATGAATTGCTTCATTTTTCCGACTAAACTGAAGAAAGCTCTCAAGCAAATCTAACTACACTAATATTTAGTACGTACACCCAAAAATACTTGTATAACAAACTTGCTTAATTCTGAGAGAGATTCAATCAATCCCCCACTGGTCCGTTTTACTACCGCCTACCAGGGAAACTTATTTAGAGATTCACATTTTAACATTTTACACAATTGCAACTATTTCAACTATATCTTTTCATGGGTATTTTAGAATATAATCAAACAATATGGGTAAAACGTTAAATAGTTCATAGATATCTTGATAAAAATATTATTATTTTTTGAGAGCACATCTTCCAAATAGTAATAGGAAATTGAATACAGCTTGTAGTCCCCTAGAACTAAGGTTTAAAAAAAATGGATTGGTGACCTGAATAGGTCAATTCAGAAATCATGTCGGATCGGTGGATTGGCAATCTAGATATGCCGGTTTTGACTTTTAAAAAATTTAAAAAATCACTAAAAGACCCTAAAAACAGTGTTTTTGAGTTTCAAAATTTTTTTTGGGTTGTTATATTATGTATTTTCATTATTTTACAAAAATAAATCAATATTAACCGGTTGTTTCCATGTCTAGATATCTATATAATAATTAATTATAATATAATATTATGATATTATATTAAATATGATTCAAAAAAATATTTAAAAAGACACTTTCTTGTTATAAGATTAAAAAATTAATATCCCTTATGAAGTGAAATTAGTAGTACATCAAACATTTGTTAATTCTCTTTACTCAGCTGAAACTATCGCAACCTAACCAACTGTAATAGTATATACTAAAATTGGAATGATTAATTCACAGTTTATAAGTATTTTATTATACAAATAAAAATAAATTTTAATTTTATCTTACAATATCATCTAATTTAAATATGTACAACTATAACAAATAATAATACATTACCTAATTTAAATATAAATAAATTAATAAATAAAATATAGTTTGCTTATGGCTCAAAAAACGATTTTGAAACCATATTTTAATGAAAATAAAAAGAAGTAAATAAATTTAGGCTTGAATGAGTTACCGCTATTTTAATGAAAATAAAAAGTAAGTAAATAAACTTTTTTTTGCTTTTTGACAAGCTTAATATTCATTATTTACCTTTAAATTAATTCTTCTACCCACCCTATTTAATCAATAGTATATTTACCTCAAAATTTATTCTACTACACACCCTATTTAATCACCCGTATGTCCCCCATTTAATCACCCATATTTACTCACCCATGCCCCATTTAGTCACCCGTAGACGCCTCATTTAGTCCCACATCAAAAAATTGGAGCATGCGAGGTGGGAGATTAAAAATTCCCCTACAATATTGGAATCCAACATTTATCCATCCAATCCAACGGTCATTAGTTTTCTATATCTATCCCCTAGTTTTTAATTTTATATCTCAATATACTCAATTTTTTATCCAATTTATATCTATTTTTTATATCTATCCCCTATTTTTTAATTTCATATCTCAATATACTCAATTTCCGCTATTTTTTAATTTTATATCTCAATATACTCGATTTTTTATCCAATATATATCCAAAATTATATCTATCCCCTATTTTAAAATTTTATATCTCAATAGACTCTTTTTTTTTTTTTTTTATATCTATCCCCTATTTTTTAATTTTATATCTCAATATACTCAATTTTTTATCTAATATATATCCATTTTTTATATCTATCCCCTATTTTTTTATTTTATATCTCAATATACTCAATTTTTTATCCAATATATATCCAAAATTATATCTATCCCTCATTTTTTAATTTTATATCTCAATAGACTCAATTTTTTATCCAGTATATATCCAACGGTGATATGGTCCAGCGTCCACATGAACGTTGGATATCCTCAGATCACGAAACCCCTCATTTTGTTAAACACCCGTTGGAGGTTATATTTCAATAGACTCAAGGTCCCTATTTTTTAATTTTATATATCAATCTACTCAATTTTTTATCCAATATATACCCAAAATTATATCTTAGACTCAATTTTTTTACAAATATAAATCCAACAGTCATATGGTCCAACGTCCATATGAACGTTGGATATCCTGAGATCACGAAACCCCTCATTTTGTCAAATACTCGTTATATCTCAATAGATTCAAGGTTTAGAATGAGCATGTATTTTTTGCATTGGAGATTATATCTCAATATCATTTTTTATATCTATCCTCTATTTTTTAATTTTATATATCTCAATAGACTCAATTTTTTATATCTATCCCTTATTTTTGTCATTTATATCTCAATAGACTCAAGATTTCAAAACATATAATGGATCATAAAAATTCTAAGTTTTATATATTTTAACCCCTTAAGCTAATTTCATTCCCTTTAAACTATTGACACGAATGGCTATAAGGCCTTACGTGTCTTAGTTTACCATGTGGGAATCCAATATATATCCAACGGTCATATGGTCCAACGTCCATATGAATGTTGGATATCCATGAGATCATGGAACCCATCATTTTCTCAGACACCCATTGGAGGCTATATCTCAATAGACTCAAAGTTTAGAATGAGCATGTATTTTTTACGTTGGATGTTATATCTCAATATCACGTAAGAGAGAAAGAGTTTAGAATAAACATGTTTTTTTTATATTTGTTAGGGCTAAAAAAATAATTAAAAGTGGATAAAGTTAGACTAAACGTTTCTTATTCAAACCGCATCGAATTAGAACCCACTTGTTCGGGCCTGTGACAGATTTGGATCTGGCCCGTTCTAGAGGGTATTCGGCCACTTCCCCGTATATACGGAGGGAACCGGATTAACTCATGTACCCATATCTATTATCGATGACGGCCAATCCAAATTGGTCCAAATCAATTCTCTAACTTTCATACCTTTACCTACATTAAAGCCCTAAATTTGCTCAATCTTGACCCTTGCTTGAAAACTTGGCTGAGTCCACTCGGACTCAACTCCTTCACAAGCCGAGTACTCGGGTCAAGTCACTGAACACAATACTAAAAAATATGAAACAATATATAAAAATTATGTTCAAATTTTATTTTATTTTATTTTTTAATTTATATAAATTTCTTATATAAATTCGAGCTTTCAATTCGATTATAATGCTCAATAAAGCTGAAAAGCAAGATCTTATAATTGATAAAAAAAAAATCCAAAATGTGATGATTTTTCATGCTTTAGACTGTTTATCGATTGTTGAACAGTGACTCAGGAGGTTCACTATAAAAAATCATCAGTTCTTCTCTAAAACCAAGTGACTCAACATGTTTCACTGGAATCGACACGGATAACCGATTCCCGTGTCAACTCGACCGAGTCAGTTACGACTCGCCATTTTTTTAAACAATGCTTTTTACAAACCACCTCATTTTAGTGGTATGGTAAATCGACCAAATTTGGAGCTTTTAAGGAGTTCTTGGCATACAATTGTCATGAATGGGTGTGGAATATGAGCAGTTTATATACGGCCGCGGACACAGGCCTGATACAAACGGACGGCTCAAAATGAATCATTCCGAGACAGCACCCTAAACGCACCCAACAGTGATACAGTGCTGTTCATTACCTCTGGTTTGCGAAAATGATAAGGACCATTTGGGGATAATTAAAGGCTTGGTCAAGAGCTGAGAGGAAGGGAAGAGCCCTGACCAAAACGAACCGCAAAAACAAGGGCCAAAAGCTCATCCCTCTCTACAGAGTAGAACCGAGGTTCCATCTTTAATTGTATATAGAAAATAAAAATAATAGAGCACAACCCAAGGCTCTCTCTCCTCTCTCTACAAAACGCGAGCTTTTTCTCTGAGACCACTCCCATGAAAACCCTTATCTTCCTCTATAAACAGAGCATTTTTATTTTATCTTTCTTAAAAAACCAGAGAAGCTCTCTCCATGGCAAGCCCTAGGCCGCATCTTTAAGCCTCCTAATGAGCACATCCAAAGACTTCTTCTTAGGGTTCTGTTTCGCCCCCCTCGTCCCAAAGCTCCCAAACAATCTCTCGGCCCCTGAATCCCTCATCTTCTCCGAAATCGCCACCACTTTCCTGTAATCCAAAGTCGCATAACTCTTCTCTCTAATCACTGGATTCAAGAAATTCTCAGGATGGTTACTCAACAAAAGATTCACCATCTGCCTGGCCTCCGCCAACCCCTGCTTCAGCTCCTCAGAGCCCTGTCCCTCCGCGAAACCCTCTAGCAATCGGAGATCGGCATCGAGCCCCGCAACCGCATTTCCATTGAAGCGGCGCACTGCGTCACTGCCGAGAAACGCCACGATGCCCTCCGATATGTGCGAGAGTGCACCCTTCAGGGCTCTGCTGAGCATTTCGGGTGGGAGCACTTGGCCCGCGGTCGAAACTAGGGTTTCCAGGTAAATGATCGCCTCGTTGGCATACTGGTTACCCCCTTTAGGAGGCTCATCAGCCACCCAATTCACAGTCTCCATCATCGCAATGTACTCATCCAGCTTTGTGCACAAGAGACTGAGCAGCGTGGCTTCGGCCTTCTCCATGGCTGGGGTGAGTGGTGCAACCTTTGAGGTGTTGCGTCTTGTGATTACACCCGAGAGCCGAGCCGCGAGCTCCTCAAAGTGCTCAAATGCGTGGCTGAGAGCCGCCACATCCGCCACTGCCTGTACCGCATGCGAGACTGTTGCCGGCGAGCACGCAAGCAGGGCCTCGTTGAGTACTCCGCAGAGCAATCGGTCGAGATACACACGCACAAGCCTGTGGCGCTCGCACCAGTCGAGCCCCGCGTGCGCGAGGTAGCTCACCGAGTCCTCGATGAATGAGCGCACCACCCGGCAGCAGGCCGGCACCGCCGCAGAGAAGGGCGCTACATAGGGAAAAGCAGGCGTGGTGGTGCAAATGGTTTCTAGCCCGAAGGAGACGATGTTCATGTCGTACTCATAGGCCTTGCGCATGACCATGGGCTCGAGCTCCTCGGCGGCTACTGCCTCTCGCGCCTGCTGCCCGCACTCCCTGAGCAAGAGCTCGTGGTATCTCTCGGCATGGCGAGCCAGTGCCTCAAACAATGGCCTTACATAGAACCCACTCTGGCCGAGGGTCTCCGCCATGAGGCTGGCATGATCCTTCACCAGGAGCAAGTGGCTCGCGGCCTGCATCCTCGAGAACTGCTCGTCGACCACATCGCAGACCTTGGCCAAGGCCAGGTCCCAGAGGGCATCGTCCTGGGCCCGACCCACCACACCCTGGACCCTGTCCTCGACGATGAAGAACCCGGCGATCTGTGAAAAGAATGCCTGGTGCGACTCGAGGAAGGGGCCCATGTTCGAGAGCTGGAAATCGGAGACAAGTTGCAGCCGCCGGTTCTCATGGTAGTAGTGCCTGAACTCGGCCTCAAGCCCAAGGGTTTTGTGGACATGGTGCGCCCTGTAGAGCGGGGTGAGGTCGAGCGAGGCACAGGGGTCAGGCTCAGGGTTGTCGTCGATGTCGAGAGCATACGGCTCCTGGCGGATCTCTTCGGCACGCTGGCGTGCGGAAGCGGCACCGCTGATGGCTAACTGGCCTAGCTCACGCCCTGTCGACCGCACCTCGACCAGCCAGTCTCCGAGGGATTGTTGAGCCTTTTGCCTTATATGATCCCTTATGGCGGGGATGTGGGTTTGGAGCATGAGCCCAAGCGGTGTACATGGAGTGGATCCCAGGTGCTCGGCCTCGAGAATTCGGAGACAGACCAACGCTTGGTGGTGTCGACGATTTGCGAGGTGGGCGTTGGCATGGACGCAAAGGCGCGAGATTGCGAGGCATTGCCCTGCATTTGTCAGGGCAATTCCAAGGTTCTGCGAGAGATTGAGCGCCTCCAGGAGGTTTTGGACAGATTCGAGGAGGGGGGAGGCGGAGGATTGGAGGTTGGAGTGGAGAGAGGAGAGAGATGATTTGAGGGAGAGGGCGTCGGAGAGGAGGGAGCGGAGGTGATCGACGGCGAGGATGAAGTGAGAGTGGTGGGAGTAGCAGAGGGCCTGGATCTCCCCGTCTTTGGCGCGCGAGAGGTTGCGGAGGCTGGAAAGGAGGGCGTCGGACTCGTTGGCAGCAAAGGCCATGCGGACGATGGGGCCGAGGTCCTCCCCATTGCCGATGGCCGACACAAGTTGGTCCTCATAGGAGGCGCCGGCGCCGGCGGCGGCCTCTTGAGCACTGGATTTTGGGGGTTTCATGACGGAACGGGGGCGCTTTCAGATGGAAAGATAATGGAGAATTTAGAGGGGCTGGGCTAGGTTTCGATAAAAATCAGAGATGAGGGCGGCGGCTTTCAGATGGAAAGATATTTTTTAGGCAGAGACGGTACTTACTGTATGGATGGACTGGATATTCTTCTTCTTCTTCGTAGAGAGAGAGAGAGAGAGAGAGACAGAATGAGAATGGGGAGAGTGGCTTTGACTGTGTTGACTGTCGGATATTAGATCCTGCGACAGGGTTTGATAGAGAGAGAGAGAGACTGTGTTGACTGTTGATACAGAGAGAAACCTTAAAGAGAGAGAGAGTGGGATATTAGATCCAGCGACAGGGTTAGAGAGAGAGAGAGAGAACAAAGGGAGGGTCAGAGAGAGAGTGAATAGTAGATGGGTAGCCAAGCCTTAGAGAGATAGAGAAAGAGCTGACTTGCTAAGTTGGGGAATACATTGCACATGATTGTTGACGTAAATTATTGCTTAATGAATAGAAAAAGCACAAACCTAGGCAGCAGCAGATCAGATCAGATCAGATCAGATCACAACGCAAATATCCAAGGAATTTACTAAAAAGCTATGCCAATAGTTGTCATAAAAAGTAAAATAAGTAAAACCTCACCTCATAAACGCTACAATTTAAAGCGTTGGAAAACTTTTACATGGAAAACATTTACATAGATCATCCGGGGCTTGAACATTACGTTTTGTTTTGTGAAGAAAAATTGGGATTGCAAACTCTATAAATAGTGTATTTGAATTTTTTAGACAGTCTATTTTGCTCTAAAAATAAGATCTATACATTCTTTTTAGTTTCAAATTTAACTGTCGGTGTTGAAAAGTGATTTTAGATCTCAAACGTGCTTTTCGGATGATGATTTGAAGTGAGGCTTTATTTTGTTTTCATGAAGCTTAGGCTTTATAGGAACTTCGCCCCTTTGTGGATTGTTTTTAGTAGATTTCAAAGCAAAAGAACCATATTAGCTAAACGCTTAGCTTGGATGTATATGGAGGGACCCAAGGGAGAAAGATACCTCTTATTTCATCATTCTACATTTCTCCATTCCATTAAACCTGCCGACCCAATTTTATTTTACTTTCGGATGAACTTTCAGTCTCCTTGTTCGCAAGTAATATGGATTCTTTTGGTTTGAAATATACTAAAAACATTCTACATAGAGTTGTTTTCCTCGTTTTATAATGCCCAATTTTCTAAATTTTTCTTAATTCCTGCACTTTTTAATTCCAGAATGGACGTTTAACCTCAATATAATTACATAAAATAATAAATAAGAAGTGCCGTTTAATTTGATTATACATGCACAAAATAATTAGGATGCAGTATTCATAAGGCCTAGGCTCTAGGCCTTATGAAAGAAAAAGTCAAGCCTCATTTCTAAATCATAAACACTTCGAACATGGGAAATCCTTAAAATGGCTCTCAAATTTATTTCTGCCATCGGTTATAAATTTTGTAGCTCTAAAATTTCTAGTTCCTCCTTGAATAGGGACTCACATCTACAGGTTTAGGAGCATTCGATATTTCTGAATTTTTCTTAAACATTTTAACTTATTGAATTTTTTCTTATATTTTTTTTCATTTTGCTTGAACCAGGCTCGACTACTTCAACTTGGTTCAACCCACCAGTTGATCATTGTGCGTATTATGATCATAGCCAACAAACTAAGTGTGGTCTCCATTGCTCATTATACATAAACATTATAATATGATGGAGAAAGATAGGAAAGCTTTTTATATTTACCGTATGTAAGCTATATATATTTTCCAAAGCCGTCAGATCAGAATGGACAGTTGAGATGGACCTAATCACGATGTCATGCTTCTACATTATTTTATTTTTAATCGTTTTTTATAAAATATTTTGACATCGAATTTTGGACGTCCACTCCTTTCTTAAACTCGCATTACAAAAAATATATAAAAAAAATATTCTTAATAAAATAAATAGAAAATATCTCCATATTCTTTATTTTTAGGTTTTTTGATAAACTCAATATTTCAAAAGATATTTTCTAACTCCCTTGCCACCTTAAACCTATTTTTAAACCTAAACAAATGCGAGAAATACATGTTCTTTTTAAACCAAATCATTTCTCTCTCTTCACTTATATACCCCGAACTTCTCTCTTTTTCTCTTTTCTTGTATTTATTACTCTCTCTCCTCTTGTGTTTCTCAAAATACCTGTCTCTCTCTCTCCTTCCGGTAACCTTTTACATCCATGAAACCCTTTTCTCTCTCTCTCTCTCTAGAAGTTTGGGATGATGGCTTTTAACAAAAACATGCTTTTTTAGCTTTTTTTGGCCTAAAAAAATATGTTTAAAATAACTCAAGGGTTAGAAGAAATAAAATCTATAATTTTTATGCCCAAGATATCTTTTAAAACCTTGGGTCTATTGTAAAATGAATATTAAAAATAGAAAGAACAGAGATATTTTCCCTAAAATAAAATAGCTATAAAAGTTTTAGAGTTATTTTATTTTATCAAAAATATTTTTTAATATTTTTATAGGTACACCTGGTTGAGATGATGACAAATACCAAATTTTATATTCATATGATTTGTAAATAAATAAATAAAAAAACTTTGAAACCTCAAATCCAGATCAAACCGTAAATAATTCACTTGATCTAAATTGGAGAGGGCTATACAGTAGCTACATAAAGCTTTCCCAAGAAAGATGAGCGCAGAAAGGGAGAGATTAGCCACAATCAGGAAGCAAACGTTTACTCCTCACCAAACTCAATGGTCTTTTACAAACGAAAAGTAAGTTCCACTTGTTTAGGTGATCAACAAGTGAAGTGGACTCCACTCCACTGACCGACAGCAAAAAGTCCCGGGCTCCGGTGCTTATCGAGCCCAAGTTATCCCGAGTTGGGACTCCACCTCGGAGATCTTAAAATATTAAAAAATATATAAAGCTTTTTTTTAAAATAGGAAATATATTTATAACACATTTATTTATATCTTTTTATCGTTATATTTTGGATACCAACACTTTTTTTTTTTTCTATATTCTCTGTTTTTTTATAAAAAAAGTTTCAATAGCACCCCAAGTCACGACTCATTTTTTAAAATATATTTTTTTGCTACTTTGTTAACCAGTTGTGTTTTGTTAAATTTTACTTTAAGTATATTTTTCATATTGTTTGGGTTTTTTTTTATTCTTTAACAGTAACATCAGAGGATGATCTTCGTTGAGAACTAACCTCCCCCACCCCCAAAAAAGGGCACCTATTATGTGGTCACTAGTCCACCTAATAGTCACGGGGAGGGCCCTAATTTTCACAGAATTTATGTTAAAATTTTTAGATTAGTATTGATTAATCTCAAGATCAAATCAATTAAACAAAAATTCAAAAAAAGAAAAGAAAAAACAAAGATCAAATCAATTAAACAATGTTTAACAAATGAAAAGTTCTCCATATCAATTCCCCTAAAAGTCAGTCTTTGAAACTTTGATTTGATGATAATCAAATCTAATGTTGTTAAGTGTCAGGTTTCAAGAACACTCTTAGATGCAGAAACAAAAATTTCAAACATTGGATTCCACCGGAATGGTGTACATAAGTGCTTGGAAACAAAATAAGAGAGTATAAAAGCACACATAACATGAACACAAGATTACATGGTATACCTCAAAAGGGCTTCACAACAAAACAATTTAGATTGACCACTGTTTCACATTGAATGGTTTATATTTTGTTAAACAATCCTATACTAAGTAGTCTTTTTTTTTAAAAAATAATCATATACCTTCGGTTACAAATATTTTTTATTTGTTAATATAATTGCTGTGTTTACTATTGTTTGTTATTGTTTCCTTGTACGTATCGTTTAATGTTTTGTGTCATTACGGTGAAAGAAGCATTGTTTTTGTATTGAAACAACTTAAACAAAAAATTTGCTAAGTAAGACACTAAATGATATCAAGTAAGGACATATAATAATCTTTAACGTATCTTTATAGTAAATCCAAATCATAATTTTATGAAGAGTGTGGTTTCCATAAGGTTGCAACCTTACACAATCCAATTAAGGTGCACTTACAAATTTTATCATAATATATAATTTTGACGTAAAATGTTTTTAGGATTGTCTCAAAATCTATTTTTATATCTAATTATAAAAGTTTAAATTTCAAAAATGGCTAAATTAAGTAAATCTATAAGCATATATATATATTTTATAGAAGTTCAAAGCTTTATATCAAGAACTAAAAGAAATCACAGAGTCAAAGACCGTTGTCTCAGATAAAGTGGTTCCACCTTTGACAAGAGAATCTGCCAAGCCATTGGCCTCACTCACTAAAGACATGAACAAAAGGGCAAAGAAGAGGTCTAGTTAAGTCCAAAATTTCCAACAAAAAAGACCGGAGTTCCCAAGGTGGTTTTTGCTCCAGTTTACACCATTTAATGGCAATAAGAGAATCACCTTCTACCACACAAGGCGCGCCAAAAATTCTAACAGTGAACAATTTCAGCCCATGAAGAAGAGCCATCATCTCCGCACAATTAGCAGTTTTAACACCCAAAGGTCAGCATAAGAAAAGATCACCACTCTATTCCAAGCTCTCACCACTCCTCCAAATCCAGCAAGACCCGGGTTTCCTAGAGACCTGCTGTCAAATTGAGTTTGAAAACCCCAAACAAAGGTGGTGTCCATCTCCCCTAAGGCTTGTAGGTAAAAGGTTTCAAGTAAAGGACATTTGAAAAATTCCTCCTCACATCCATCTCAAGAATATCTTTACCTGCTTTTGTAATAGAATAAAATAGCCAAATGGAATGTAAGATCTTATCCAACATGTAGCCAACAGACAAACAAATCCCATCAAACGCCCTTCTATTTCTCTCTTTCCAAACTTCCCACAGAATTATGCCTCTCGAAATTTGCCATAAAACCAAACCAGTTGGTGGAAGCCACGTGACTGTTAGATTTGAAATAATCCCTTGTACAGCGGCAATTACTACCCAATTGGACAAAAAACCGATGGAAATTTGTAGTGTAAAAGGGCAATGCAAGAACAAATGGGCCCCTATTTCAAAGTCATTCTTGCATAATAAACAAATATTTGGCAAAATCTTACCTCGTTTGATGAGATTATCAATCGTGAGCACTTTATCTTGTACGGCCAAGAAAGCTTTGACCTTGGGTGGTATAGGCCATTTCCACACTGCTGCAATTTTCGGCATAGACCATCTCCATCTGTCATGAAAGAGAAAATTCTATATAGATTTAACCGAAAAAACTCCATTGGAAGCATCAGAAGCATTTTGCGGGATGTAGACTTCTTGTAATAGGGCAAGCAGTTGAACATATTCCTGAAAAACCACTTCTGAGACTCTATTATAAGGAAGGACAATATTCCAATCAACCTGATTTCTACTTAAGACAAAGATGTCAGATACAACAGCATCAGAATTCTCCATTCGCTGGTAAACCAAAGGGAACAAATACTTCAGTGGGCAGTCACCAAGCCTTTTATGGTGCCAAAAAGAAATATTATGCCCACTTTCCAAATTCCATCTAATATCCCTATGAATCAAACTCTTGCAAGAATTAATAGATCTCCAGCAATAAGACACTTCCCTTATACCATTTCTTAAATCGGCCCACATATGAAAAATGTCTTCTCCATACTTGGCGACGATGACTTGATACCATAGCTGATCTTTGAAGTTTAGACTACGCCACCACTACTTACATAGCAATGCTTGGTTAACTAATGAAATCTTTCTTAAGCCCAAGCCACTTTCCCTCTGAGGAGTGCACACCCTATCCCATCGAAGTGAGTGAAATTTCTTGGACTTATCAAAAGATCCGCATAGGAAGTTGCGCATCAAAGTTTCAATTTTTTTTTGCCACCCGAGGGGGAATCATAAACAATGACATTTGGCAGATTGGCAAATTAGATAAGCATGATTTAATCAAAGTGATCATCCCACCCAAAGACAGATATTTATACTTCCAAAGATCCAATTTGACTTGAATTCTTTGAATGATTTTATCCCAGACAGCCATAGGAAGACGTCCATCTGAGATTGGCATCCTTAAATACCAAATAGGGAAAACATCTATCTTACACCCCAAAACCCCTGCAATATCACAAATTAAAGAATCAACACAATTAATACCAATTGTCACTGAATTTTCAAAATTCACATTTATCCCTAGGGCCACTTCGCAGCAATGCAAGAAAGTCGCAATATTTTCCACTTGGTTACAATTAACCTCACAAAATAACACCGTATCATCTGCAAACTGCAAATGCTAAATACAAGGACCATTATTCGGCATTTGAAAACCTTTAAAATGCCATTTTGCTTCAACATTGCAAAGAAGACAACTAAAGCATTCAGCATAGATGGTGTACAAAAAATGAGTTAATGGGTCCCCTTGACGAAGCCCACGCGAAGCACCAAAAAAGCCAGTAGGATTGCCTTTGAAAAGGTTTGAAAAGTATGCAGAGGATAAGCATCCAAACATCTAACTTCTCTATTTCTCACCCAACCCCATATTCTTCATGGTTTCAAGAAGGATATTCCTTTCCACCCTATCGTACACTTTTTTCATATCCAGTTTGATCACAACCCCTGTACCACCACTTACAGGTTTAGAATGAATACATTCATGAGCAATCAAAACACTATTAGTAATCATTCGATCCTTGATAAAAGCAAATTGGGACCTAACAATAACCTCTGGTAAGACTGTCTTGAGTCTTTCGGCCAAAACCTTAGCAATGATTTTGTAAAGACTCGAGAGAATACTAATAGGTCTCAAATCTCCCAAGCACCCTATGACTGATGTTTTAGGGATAAGCGCAATATAGGCTGAATTAACCCCTTTGAAAAGTTCCCCCGTCTGCAAAAAACCACGCACCATATCCAACCGTTCTGAGGAAATCAACTTCCAAAATTTGTTGAAGAATAACAAAGGAAATCCATCTGGACCTAGGGCCTAGAGCCTTATCCCCATGGTGTCCAAAAACTGTTTTTTAATTCTTCTAAGGACACATCCCTCTCAAGCAATGCCACCGAATTAGCAATAAGATGACTAAAACCCACCCTAGATAGGCGAGGTGTGACCCTAACCTCCATTGTGAAAGCCTTCTTAAAATGACCCACCACTGCATTAGACATCCCCTTCAAATTTTCAGGGTCAACACCTTCAATAAAAAGTTCAGAAACATCATTCTGATGTCTCCTAGGATTAGCAGTGGCATAAAAAAAATTTAGTATTGAAGTTTCCTTGCTTAAGTCATTTAACCCTAGATCGTTGCTTCCAATACACCTCTTCTACCCTTCGAATTTCATGAAGCTCACTAATTTTGGAACTCCTAGCCACAACTAAGAAAACGCGAGAGTTTTGGATCCTAGCATCTACATCAGTTAAACAATTAAGCACCTCCTCAATTTTTGCCTTCACATTCAGTCCCTTATCATTCATCCAAGAGATCAATTTATGTTTCATGCATAAAAGCTTTCTATGCAATTGAAAATCCACATAACCAAAGGAAATACAATTTTTCCATGCACCCTTGACAAGGTCAAGCACTTCCTTGTTTGCCAACCAACTGGCCTCAAGCCTGAAAAGCCTGGGACCAATCGAGCGTGCTTTGGTACACAAGAGAATGGGAGTGTGATCTGAAGAAAGCCAGAGGTAAGCTTTAACATAGGCTAAAGGAAAAAAATCAGCCCAATCCCCAAAGACAAAAAAACGATCTAATTTAGACATTGATAAGCAAGAGGCACTGCCATTAGTCTAAGTAAAAGTAGTACCAAAAATAGGGAAATTGATCAATGCATTTGACTCAATAAGACTGTTAAAAAGACGCATCGCATACGTAATAGATCCTCCACTAGAACTCTCATCAGGCCATCTAGTAAAATTGAAACCCCCCCCCCCCCCCCCTTCCCCCTTCCCCTTCCCCTTCCCCTTCCCATACACAATGGATAATTAGAAGAATTTATAAAAGCATACATCTCATTAACAAAAGTTTGCTTTTGTGTCCACTCGTGTGGACCATATTCATTCAAAAGACCCCAACAAAAATCAGAAGCATGCCCCTCAAAACCAACCATAATAAAATTATCTTTGACAACAAAACAAAACGACTTCAACCAAGTGGGATCCCATATAATCCATAACCCACCAGATGCCCCAACAAAATCAATACTCGAAAAATTGACTGTCCGAAGATCCCGAACTTCTCGAGCACTCATAACAAAGGGTTTGGGAAGTTTAGTTTCCAGCAAAATTAGAATCGAAGGTTTAAAACGGAAAACTAACAACAAAACATCATTTTTGTGCTTTAGGTCACCCAGACCTCTAATATTCCAAGAGATAATATTCATGGTGGAAGAGGAACCTGGCCCATCCTAGTTTGAACGCATCCTCAGCAAGCATAGCATCCCACATGTCTTCCTCATCCTCCGACAAAGTCCCCGAACCAACAGCCTATACATCAGCAATAACAATGCCTCTCGCTATGTGTTGAGCTCTAGACTCCCCCCAAGCCTGCAACGTAGCCAAAGTCCTTGTTCCCATAGCCACTGCTTTACCTTTTGCTTTTGATTTCTGTTCTGCTATTGAGGTTCTTTCTACTACCACATCATCATTTTTAAAGCCCTCAGTACCAGTAACTTTAGCTTTCTTTGGTTGTACACCTTCTTTACCTTTCTTCTTTTTAGCGATGAGCTCCTTAAAAACAACACCGATAGGGATATTGAAGTCCATTCCACTATCAGAGACATTTGAAGCAACTACCGTCTCCTCCATAATAGGCATAGGCACTGAATCTAGCATAGTCTTCGAATCAGCAGAAAGCAAAAGGGTCCTGCCATAGTCGAAGAAATAAACGAAGATTCATGAGTTGGGGAAGACGTAGTGAAGCTAATCAACAATGGCCTTTCATCTTGATGGATCACAGTGATGGGGCTGGTAGCATCCATCTCCACCACTGCTAAATCGTTGGGCTCAGTTTCAACAGGTTCCTCAATAACAATAGGCATCCCCCTAAGTTCTAATATTTCAGGAATGAATTCACCTTCCTCAATGTCCACCTGAACTTCTCCCTCCTTATTGGCCACCAAAGCTAGAGGATTGATCAACAGAGGATCAAATCCATGGTTGGTATGAGAACGAGATTTGTGAACCTTCCTAGAGGCTCAGTGATGAAACAAGGGATACATCTTCCCTAATGAAAGTAACAATAAAGAAAGCACTTAACAATGCTTTTGTCATGTGAAAACAATGGCTGCTGCCACCCACAAAAAGGTACTAAATGTGGTCTAGACTAGGCACAGCCTAGGAGCCAACATTCCTCTTCAACTGTATCATTATACTTATTCTATTTCAAAAGGAAAATTGTTTCATGCGGGCTGGACCGCATGACTATATATGCGGTTCAAAATTGTAAAGCATCGATCTTAAAGATAGATGCAACTAGGTGTTCTATCTAAAAACAATAAAAACGAATGGTCAAAATGTCTTCTTACTAAAATTATTATTTATAATTTTTAAAATTTAATTATTTTTTCATATTCATGGCCTCCGTGTTAGAGATTACATGTCTTAAAAATTAAGTCCAAAAATCCATTACAAAAATAGATTTATTAATAGGCCCGCATTTATACCTTTACGGGCTTGGTCCCACAAAAACGGGGTCCATTTCAAAAGAACAAAAAAACACAGAAACACAAAAGAAACCGAAACAAACATCAAACTCTAAATAACGCGGAAGCTCAATTTCCCACTCCCAACAACAACACAGAGTTCATCAACTAGAAACACCCCACACACTCCATCTACAATGGCGCCCACACACTCCATCTACAATGGCGCCCACTGCAACTCCACCCCAAACTCCCAATTCTCTATCCCCAAGCCCTCCCTAAACGCCACCACCGAAGTGTAAGCAGTGCAACCCCCATCTCTCACCCTAATCCGATGCGAAGTCATCGACGCGTCCTTCAGGTAGCTGCAACATAGCAAACCATCACACTCTCCACCCTCCTCGAAAATTCGACATGGGCTTTGAGCCGAGCAGTTGAGAGGTGAGAGCAAGATGTTCGACGAGCAGTTGAACAGCATCACAGTGTTCCGGCTCGATATGTTGAAGGGCAGAGACTCATCGAGCAGGAGGCCGCCCGAGGCTAGGTCCAGGGACCGGCATGAGTTGGGCTCGAACGCGGGGGGTGAGATGATGAGGCGTTGGGTTAGGGGGTCGATGGATTGGACTCTGTAGAGGTTGTTGGTTGGAGAGAGAAAGAAGAGAGTGTTTTGAGAGCAATGGAGGGGGTAGTTTGGGTTGCCGCAGGAGGGGTGGGTGCTGAGGGGATAGGGGACAGGGGTGTAGCCGCAGTTGGGGCACTGCAGGGCGGAGTAAGGGCGGTGGGCAGCGCAGAGGACGAGGAAGAGGAAGTGGAAGTGTAGTAGTGATGTTAACTGTTTTGGGCTCTCCATGCCCTTCTATCTCTTTTCTAGAGAGAGAGAGAGGAGTGGGACACCAGTGGGAGTCCAAGTAATTTTTTTTTTTTTGGTAATTGGGTACCGAAGATTAAGATTGGACTTTACCTGTTTTTTTTTAATAAATTAAAATTTTAATTTTTTTTGAAGGTGTTAGTGGGTGATATCAATAAGATTAAAAACCACGACGTGATAATTAAGTATGGGGGTGCTACCACTACGGCCCGGCCCAGCACAGCCCCTTTCCTAGTGGGAGTTTGAGACTTGAGTAAAGCTAGTGTCTTATGTGAATATAGGTACGTGTGTGTAAAAAAGAGATTAGTGAATTTTAGAGAGAGAAAGACGAGTGTGTAAGAGAGTGGCGGGATGGTAGTCCATGGGACCTAGGTGAATGTCGTGTGTTTTAGAGAGAGAGTAATGGGCTAGTGGGTACTAAGAGAGAGATGGGGAGAGATTGCAATGGGCTAGTGCGCCCTAGAGAGAGAGAGAGAGAGAGAGGCGACGTGTTGGTCGTTGATAGAGAGTTATAGAGAGAGAGAGAGAGAGAGCTTGGGAAGTGGCTAAAGAGTGTGAGGGGTTCGGTAGGGCTGTTGAGACTCTAAACCATGGGCGCTTTATATAGAGCGCAGCATATCAAATCATGCATATACGTTTGAATTTGGGGTCTTTGAATAATGCAACAAGTGTTTTGCAAAAAACTGTTGTTTTTATTCTTGTGGCCTTAAAAAAAAAACTAGGCCTAAAGATGATGGGGCCTCTCCGGATAATCGAATCTTTCTTCAAGTGGACACTTGTCATTGACTTGTTTTCATCTCTTTTGAATGCCATAGCGGTCCTTTGGAATCACATTTGAGAAGAAAAAGCAAATTTTATACCAAAAAATTTATTAAATGTAAAAACATTGGTCAAACCAACATAACTCTTAATTAAATAAACTCAACATAATGCTTACTTTGTAAAACCATTTCACTAATAATGCTTACTATGCCAAACCATTTCACTAAGGTACGTCTTCAACTATGAAAAAGCCCAAATTTCCCGGTTCTAATTTTAGGTTTGGAACCCTTTTCCATAATTTGGTCACTCAATTTAGCAAAAGAAAGTGATAACTGATATCTCTTGTTCGGGCTTCCAAACATATGATGTATTTTCATTAAAAACTTGTGTTTGAGGTTGAAACTCATAGAGGTATTTATATTTTTCGTTATGGTGACTTAATTTGCTTAAATTGCTAAAATACTCTTCTTTTTTTGGATTCCAAACCCAGAATAAGATTTTTTTTATCGAAAAATATGTTCTAAGTATGGACCCTGAAATAAAAAGCATGTTGTAAGCTAGGAACCTAGAACAAGTAGCTCATTTGGCACAAGTTACTCCAATAATTAAATGTTTGTTCAGATCACGAATCCATAGCAATGGCAATTTGAGAATTTTTGGATAAAATTCTTGAGAGGTACCTTAATTGAAAGAATCTTTAAAAAGAAACCACTTTATCATTAAAATTGTTAATGTAACCACCTCATAAATTTCTTGAGGTAATTTGAACATTGTAGTAACATCTTCCCTTTTTTATTTAGCAGAAAACTAAATAAATAAGGTAACAAGCAAAATAGGAACTTGACCAAGAATCGCCAAGAAAGATAGCAGAGCATATTACAACTTTTCTTTTATATGCATTCCTGAGATCCAGATCATCCGCCGTCCATTCTCAAGATTGGCCATGCATAATGAACCGTAAAAAACTCGCCTTAAGATCTATCTTTTTTCTTTCTTCTTCTTTTTTTTTTTTAAAAAAAAAAAAATGTTCACAGCCTCAATGTCGATCAAGACATATACTCTTTCCAACTTGTGCACTGCATGTAAAATACATATCATGAATATGCCAAGCTACATATAATTATTATGCCAAGCTCTCTCTCTCTATCTCTCTCTTCACCCCTCCCCCTGCCCAATGGGCCATAAATGATTGAAGCCTCAATATACTATATCTTTTTCTTGTTCTATGCATTCATATATTATTATTGATATGGTTTGAAACTTTTGGCAAAGTGGGATTATATAAAAAGATGGCTCTTTATTAAGTGCAAGAGATAGATTGGCTAACCCATTTGGGAGTCTCTCACAGGCCCCTAGTAGTGCTTTTGGTCTAAGAAAGGAAATAGCCCACTAAGCCCACTCTCCTAATTTTGATTTTATAAGCCCACTTTCTACAATGGGGATTTTATCATTCGTACGTTGTACCTACCCATTTCTCTTTTAATACATGTAAGAATGAACTTGCTCCCCATTAATGTTTCTTTATATTTGATAACTTCAAAACACCATAACAAATGCCCCACGTATTGAACTCAAAGGTTGTACGTAAATGACAGCTGTTGTGTAGCCAATTAAAATGAAAATGTAATGGATGCAGTTTTTATAAGATCAGGATTTTTATGAAAATAAAGTAAAACGTCACCTCAAATCCATTTCGTTCATGATGTACTTTGAGTATCATCGAAAATCTCCATGATAACCCTAAAATCAATGTTTAATATCGATTATAAAATTTAAAGCTAAAAAGTTAGTACAGATCTTGTGGATATGTAAGTAATTAGTTTTAGGGCGAAATAGATAGTCTAGATAATCTGGTCCAATGTGTAATATTTTTAAAGTTTGAAATCCTAATTTTTTTTTCGACCATAATAGTGATTGATTTAACGTGTTTTTTGACACTAGAATTACTAATTTTGATGAGTTTTGAGCTTAGTACTAGTTTTGATTTACCATTTTCCAAATGTAATTCATCAAGTTTGTGGACAACTTACTAAAAAAATAAAAATTTGAGGAAAACTTAAATCAGGAATATGCAATTCATACTTTACAAATAATTGTAACAAGCACCACTTATCATTCGATTGAAATAATTTTAGCATGGATAATTATTCTTCGACTTACATTATATAAAAAATATAACTTAAAAAAAAGCGGAAAAGTATAGAATGAGACCATTTACAAGGTGGACACATTAATCTTGACCTTGAATGTGAAATCCAATTGAATGGTTGTTTAGCAAGGGTGTTTATCTCTAGATTTTTTGATAAACAATGGCCTTAAGGGAGTTATTGTGCCCTCAAATTCCTGCTACTGTAGTAAAGATGTCCATTATTCAGGTTTTGTTCACAAGAACTACTGAATGGAAAATCAACCTCACTTCCCCAACGGCCATTATTAATCATCAAATGGTAAACAGGTTGTTGAGATGGATGAGTGGCAAGATAAAAAGGGGACGAATCTATTCAAGAGAATTTAAACGTGGCACCATGTATGGTGCTGACCAAGTACAACATTTGTTAGGAGGTGTGAATTAGTTCAAGTGAAATAACTGAAAATGGCAAGAGGTAGGCCCAAAAAAACATGGTTGGAAGCAGTTTGAAAAGATATGGGGATTTATGGCATCACTGAGGATATGACCTTTAATAGAGCACAATGGAGAACCATGATTCATGTAGCTGACCGTAATTACTTGAAAAAAGGCTAAAATAATGATGATGGTGATGATGATATAGTGAACAGGTTAGATAAAACCAAATGATGATAGACGGTCTCAATTTCAAACCGAAAATAACAAATAATTAAGACAAATATTAGATATCACATGTCGTCGTTATCGTCATCATTATTACCGCCATCATTATCAATATCCGAGCCTTATCCCAACTATTTGGAGTCCACTACACAAATCCTACTCCGTCATTTTTCTCTACAAAACGTCATACTCTCAATAAAAATTATAAGTCAATATATCTTTTTTATTTCTTCTATCAATGTCCTTTTAGGCCTTCCCTTCACTCTTTTAAAGCCTTCCACTTAAACTAAATCGTATCTCCTAACCGGTGCTATATCAAGCCACCTAAGTCTACTTTGCCTCATCTTATCGCTTATTCAAGTCACCTAAATTCCCTCAAATGTATGTCTTTTGAATTATTTTTTTTCTTGTCTTGCCACTCATCCATCTCAGCATCATCATATCAACTACACTGATCCTATGGGTAAGTTGTTTCTTAATCACCTAACATTCCATCCCATAATATAAACATGTAAGTAAAAAAAAAATGACATATCATATAAACCCAATTAAAATAATAATTAAATTTATTTGATTACCTACAAATAATGAATCATTTGCCTTGATTAAATCAAACTAGTATAAAGCTCAAATACTTTGCATGTGTATTAGCCTAGTTAAAACTTGAAGAAAAGTTGAATGCCCTTTGCAAGCCTACTTGTGGGGTATAGATTGTCTAGGAAGGTTCCTTACTTGTGGGTGGGGTATAGATCACCTAGGAAAGTTCTTTGCTTGTGGTACAAATGGAACTAAAGATGTCATATTATAGTACCTTCAGCTGTCACCTCATAGGCCATAAGTTCATTCTTCAATTGGGGTTTTGAATTCTAAAACACCATGACTTGTTCAAATTTAGCAAATTCAAACCACATTAAATAAATAAGTAATAAGCAACTTCGAACCGCTCCATACTTAAAAAAATTAAGTATATAGCAGTGTGATAGTAGCAACATAAAATCACTCCCTATAAATCTTTTTAAATACTGAATGGTTCAAAGTTGCTAATATTAAATTGGTTCATACTTAAACTTCTTTTTAAGTATGAAGCGGGTTGAAGTTGTTAATATCGAATTCATCATCATCAAGGTCAATCAGCAATTGACACCAATCCCGCCAGTCAACTAATATCGAATCCATACTTAAAAAACTCGTGCGGCATTAAAAAGCCGAGTAAGAAGTATGACGAGTAAAAAGTCACCAATCACTCGTATTTGTTGGATTTTCATTCCCATGGCATTTTCAAGCCCGGCTATCAAGGCTTCGTATTCAGCAACGTTATTGGTATATGGGAAATTCAACCTGATGGCTGTTAGCATTAAAATCTTCTCTGGTGAGCATAGTATGACTCCTATACCTGACCCATATTCGTTCTTTGCACCGTCGAAGTATA